CTTTAACTACAGTTAATTGATATTTTTTACAATGGCTGCAAACAGTTTTTCACATCGGGAAAACTTTGTCCGCCCATGAGTGGCAAACTTTCCAACTGTCAAATTGGCCAACAGCCAGACAGATAAGGGAAATCTGGAAAAAAGAAAAGTGGGTAGGATGGAAAATGGCAACGCAAACAGAATCCGACACCTGGACAACGTCTGGTTGGATGTCTGCACAGGATGATAATAACGACGTTGACGATGATGACACTCAACGGAAATGAGCAGCATACTTTGACACATTTTGCACAGACTGTACTTAGTCTAGATATTTGTCCCGCCGGAAAGAGACAGACAGCGTAAGTGTGCAAGAGACAGAGCGAAGTGATATCAATTTTGAAATGGACTGGGCCCCAAAAACTCTTGACCTGCAATGCAGCTTCCGCTGTCTGGCCATCATTTGCAGTTCCTACCCATTAATTAAGCGCAGCAACCAGATGAATACTGACAGATACAAATCGGAATACATAAATGCACTGAGAATGCAGTGTTTTGATTTACACATATCTTGGAATATGCAGTACAAAGTCCTTTTTCTGTTGGGTTAGTTGCTTCGACTACATAATTAATCCTATTATAAATAAATTCCTATGTTGAAGCAATTCTGATAGCATTTATTTATTTTTATATTTTTCATGACTTTTTCCTCGCCACCCAATACACATTTACGCATTTTATTCACATATAAATTGAACTTTACAAAGCCTCATACATATTCAGTCATTAACAGCAAGCAAATTGCAATCTTTGTTGAATGGAGTGGAGTTCTTTTGAATGCAGAACTTTTTGTGCTGAACTCTGTCGATTGACCGATTAACATAAACATTTTTCTGATTAATGGCCAACGCGTTGGCTTTATGTTTTATTTGGCCGGGGTGCGGTCCATCCATTGTGATCGATCATTGTTCGATGCCACTATGGGACATATATACATATATAGAAATAAAGCTATAGTATTCAGCATAGTCTGGGCCAAGTTATTGGCACTAAGTGAGTTGGCCGAGGGTCATTACAGACGTCGGTTCATTAATCATATTCCACGGATCATCAATGGGTCATGGCTTCGATTCGTTGCCTGTTTTCTAAGTTTAGTGCCGAAGCTTTTTGTCATGTAAATGTGTTAAAACGCTTTCAAAACTTGGGAAATGAAGTTTCAGCCGGCGGCTAACTTGAACTTTGGTTCCGGAACGAATAGGTTTTTAGATAATGTCAGGTTGTGGCAGTGGGAATTATTTTTTCATTGGAAATTTCATGTTATAGGCTATAATTCAAATGTAGTTTGTTGCATAAACACACAACTTCCACTTGCAAGTTCTTGGTAAGCAATCTTCCGATTCCCCAATCGACCAGTAAATAAACACTTATCAATCATGGGTAAACTCACGTTTTATGCAAACAACTCTTATCTGGCAAAAAGCAAAGCCACAGTTCCAAAACAAAAGCACCAAGTCAAGTTAAAGCAATGCAAGCAACGCCGCTTGATGACTAAGAAAGTTTATCGCAAGACGGCGACAAAGAAATCAATTAAAAATTAACAAATATTTCTCACGTTGCTGATGATGTTGGATAATCATCAATACTGTAATCAATAGTAATCATTTCTAGCCGAGAGCAATTAGCACCTCCGATGGAACCCACACACAAGAACGCAAAATAATTGTAAACACGCAAAGAGGCTTACGTAAGAATCCAAATTCAAGATTGTAAAAACGCCCACTTCCCTTTTGCAGACATACCGAAAATAGAAGCATTTTAATCAGCCAAACATTCTGACGCCGATATATTGATTAATGCCGTTCGGTGCGATTAGGGCACCATAAATTCATAAAGAAAAGAGACAGAGGGATGACCAAATTTTTGCCCCAATGCCCGTCAATCGAAATAAAAAAAGGTGAACGTGAGAACAATAGAAACTAAATTTGGATGCCGACCATGAGTGGGTTAAAAAGTGTAAAAGAACCCAGGATACGCAGATTCCGGTGGGTCCATTGTATACCTGTCTTTTGTGGTGTATAAATAGCGGATCCGAGGCACACCCCCTTCAAAATTGTGCACTGACAAAGGCTCGAGACTCCTCTTTATCCCATTTGGGCCCACTTCATGTGTCAAGTTTCAAGTTCAGCATTAACCCCTAGTTTGTGCGGCGGAATTAAGTACTCAGATGTTATGTTCCCACTCTAATACATTTGCATTATATAAAGCTTGGGAAAAGAGACAGAAAATTACCAAATTACAGTCATGAGTAGTACTGGATCATTTTGCACCATCCCCATGTGGGGATATTCCCCAGAGCCTTTAAAGCACAGACCCCAATGGGTTAAAGAGATTATGCTGCGCATATGTGCTCGCCTGACTTTGTAATTATTATTCCTGCTACCGTTTCGACCACTTTGTTTGCTTTTTTGGCGTCCGCCGGCTTCAGCTCCAGTCAACTCGACTTGCCTCCTCATTTCAGCACTCCACGTTTATGGCTACTGTATTTTTTACGGCTAATGGGCAGTAACTGTAGATCTGACAGCGAAATTGGCGTGCAAATTGAAAATAGAAAAAACGAGCAGCGAGAATAAAAAACAAAACCAGAATCGAATCTACTTCAATGAAATTTTAGGGGGAGCGTCGACATTGTATAGAGTTTATGGCCTTATTATGGATAGGCGTACGGTGGAAAATTGAAAAAAAAAAAAAACTAGAACAGCAGCTTATTGATTTGCACAGCTGGACAGAAAAACTGAAGCAAAAAAGGGGGAAATGCGGGTATAGAACGATTTTCAGAAGACTTGCCCGCCAGGGAAAATGAATTGAAACGAAATTGAAAAGCGTTTCCAGGTGGCAAAGAGGTAAGGGGATCGGCAGTTAGTTCGATTTATGCTTTATTGAAGGCAATTTGTCGTTTGCCTTTTTTGGCAGCCAGTAATTGAACATCGTAAATTCCCATCGCCAGTGTTCACCCCGGTTTTTTGTTATTGATTTTACAATTTTTGCAAAAATAAAAAACGAATGTCATGGGAAATAACACGCAAGTCATTTGGGGGGAGCTATTAATTCGGAGATCAATTGATGATCAGGCTATAAAAGCTGTTGTTATATAAATGCTTGACAATTTCGCACATCACATCGTGCGCAATGAAAGTAACAAGTAACAGAAAACCCGATTTAATCGACAGCATTTTATACAAAATAATTGCAAAAATATTCAGGGAATGCGGCTAAGCCAAAAGCAGTCAAACAACAATAACAAAACAAAAGAAAACGACACAGAAACAAAGACGTTGACTTCGACGCATGCACAGAAAACAATTGGGCACCACTTTCGTGGTTAACCACAATAATAAATAATAAATATCTGATCATTATCTGATCAATACCCATATTCACATCAATAGCGATCAGAAAAGTATGTCCAATAAAGCTAAGCCCGTCTATTTAAACTTATAACTGAATTTCTTGAGGTGCACCTACCGACGAACACCTGTGCTTACGTACAACCGTCTCACATAACTGGAATGAATCATCGACTCTCGTTTGACACACTGAATTAGCCCACACTTCATCTCCTATCTGGTTTAATTTTATTTTTTACAGACACGTGCCCTCCAAGGCAAACGCATTAAAAAGCCATTTCAATTCTGCACATGAACTTGAAATCCTGAGATGAAACTGAGGCAAAGACAAAGGCAAGTGCAAAGCACTTTAATGGCATCTTTAAATGCCAATAATGTGAGAGAAGCCCCCGAAACTTAGCTAATTTTTCTAAATATAGTCAACAAGCTCACTCGGGGGCTGTATTATTTTATTGCTTTTATTGCGGCATTTCTCTCGACTCGAATTAAGTTTGCTTTGATTGATGATGTTGCCCGATTATGAGTCACTCAACTCGAAATATATGAAATAGAGAAAGAAATGCCAGGCGGCTGCGTTGATTTGCCCAGTGGGTAAGTGGGTTAAGTTGGCAACTGAGGTCCACGGTCCACGGTGATTTGTATTGACATGTCACGGTAATCGGATATGGGGCAGAAATGATTGCCACGATGACTTGTTGAATGAGACTAATAAAAGGTGGCAAATAAAGGGGGCTAATAAAATGAAGCACAATAATAAAAGAGCATAAGTCAAACAGTCTCCATTGATAAAGATATTCACATAAAATAAAAAAAAGACACCTCAGAACTTACAGAAAAAATTCGAATTTAAATCAAAGTTGAGGCGAATTAAGCAAACCTTTCGATTCAGATAAAGGCATTTCAGTTTGAGTATAATTCATTCAAACATCTGTTAAAGAAGTTTTCGTTTGCATGAGCATTTCAAACTTTAACTCCAATATTTTGTTCTTTTTTGGTAATTCGTTTTTTACACTTCAGTGCAGAGCGGAAATGTGATTTTTTTTCGTCGTTTTTCGTTTCCCATTTTCCACTTCTGTTTGCCCATCGACGGGCCCCAAAATGGTTCACTGCACTTGACTCTGCGATTGTGGGCGGCTGGGGAAAACAGGGCGGGGCTGCGTTCGGCAGCGGATTGGGTTTGTCAACGCTTTTATCTGATGCCTAAAGCGAAACAATATGCTGAATGACAGAGGGGAGCGCTTTGGAGGGGCACAGCTTTAATTCTTCTTCTGTGGGCACTGCACACACATCAGGTGTGACATATGTATGTACATACAGAGGGGCACAGGAATGGAAATGGGAATGGGAATTTTGAGGGTGCGGTCCAAAGGGTGTAGTTCCAATGGAATGCGGTTCCCCTTTAAAATTGCTGCAGCTTTAAAAGCAAACAGGAGGAGAACATTTTCAAAGGCACTTTTATAAAGGGTACATTACTTAACTTCAACATATTTCACTCATAAAGTAAACTACATGGGAAACGTTCTTTATGCTACTTTGCTTGTATAAAATCGCAAAGTTTGAGATATCATACAACAATCTGTACTGATCCTTCCCCAAGGAAAACCTGCTGAAACTTACCGCACTGCCCCCCGTTGATGGCCAGTCCATCCTTGACCGCCTGCTGCTGCTGCTGCGCGTTGCTGCTGTGCAGGATGTCCGATAAGGATAAGGACGAGGCGATGAGCTGGCGCTTCTCCTCGAAGTTGAGGAAGTCCATCGAGTTGCTGCGCTGCGGCGTGACAGTTATGGTCACCGATTTCTGCATTTTGGCGACCACACAGAGCTGCTGCTCCAGATCCGATGGCCCAGTGGACTGGGCGTTTGGCGAGTCCGGGGGCGTGGCTGCCTGGGCGGAGGGATGATCGATGCCATCGGTGAGATCGGGCGGTGGAAGCTGCAGCTGCAGCTGCTGTTGCTGCTGCAACTGGTATTGTTGCTGCTGCTGCTGCTGTTGCTGCTGTTGCTGCTGGTGCTGCTGTTGTTGCTGCTGCTGGTAACTGTGGTTTAGTTGCAACTGATGTTGCTGATGCTGTCCGTAGTAACTGAAGGCGGACTGAGCGGTGGCAGCGGAGTACGAGGGTGGACCCAGCGGCGAGTGGGGCGGCGCATGGGCCACCCTAGAGGCCGCAGCGGGTGACAATTGATAGCCACTGTTGCCGGGTGAGCCCGTCTGCCCACCGTCGTGTCCATTGATGGCCGCCACCAAAGTGGCCAGATTATTGCGACTGGTGTTGCCACGCTGCTGCGCCTGGAACTTCTGCTGCTGCTGCAGCTGTTGCAGCAGTTGTTGCTGCTGCTGCTGGTACGCCATCGGCGGATGTTGCTGCTGCGTGTTGCTGTTGCTGCTGCCGCTGTTGCCGCTGCTGTTGCTGCCGTTGCTGTTGCTGCTGGCCGTTGACTGTTGGCTGTGCAACTTGTTGCTGCGCAGCGACATGATTGTCGAGTGTGAAACACTCTTACTACTTCATTGTCACGTGACTTTGGTTGTTCGGCTAATTGGCGGTTAGCACGCCCGTGTGCGTGGCTTTTCCTGGGTTTTCTACGCTTTTCACACCCACTTCACTCTCTACTTGTGTCACTTTTTCAAGGGTTTCACTTTTCTTTCGGCGCCTTAATTGCTGCAATTAAAATGAGGTTGCTGATTGTTGGCGGGCTTGTTGCAAGCTGCCGTGTTTTCTGGGCCAGCAGGCAACAACAGCTACAGTTTAACTAGGCACTTGTCACTTGATTTAGCAGCAGACATTCTGCACATTAATGTTTCTATTTAGATCGCTTTAATTGCCCTTCAAATAATTCTATCAAAAGGCAGCACAAACCACGGCTTTTCTCTTCACCCACACCTGATCGCTTTTGTATTATTTTGATGAATAATTCAACTTTAGCATTAGAGACCTTTTATGTTCAAATCATTACTTAAACCTAACCTCATTTTGCATTCGGTAAATTGTATTATTTTAAGAAAGTTTGTATCCAGTTGAATAGTTAGTTATTGTGATTGCCTAGTCCATTTACTCAACAGCTTGCCCAGCATTTGGGCAGTGATAAAATAACACAATCAACAACAATATTCCTTACATGGGCTTCCCTTCGAGAAAATTAACTGAGAATGCATCCAGCATTTGCCACAAATGCCACAAAAGCCACAGTAAAAACACAGAACGCAACCACTTGACGTTGTCATCATCAAAAACGCTGCAATTGCAGACAGCTGGTGAAGATTTTCCTTGCCAAAAAGATGGGGAAACCCGGGGTGAAAATAGAGTGAGAAGCACACTGATGGAGTTGATGGAAATCCATCCAAGGAAATGGAGCATCATCATGTGCACTGCACCACTGCTCCACTTGAACTGAAACAAAAGAAGCTACAGCGAGCAGGGGAAAAGGGCTCCAAAGGATTTCTGGAGGATGGCCAAAGGCAACAAAGGAAATGGACAAGGACGAGGGAGCAAAGGGAGCAGAGGGAGCCGTGGGGGGAGCTCTTCAAATTGAAGTGTCCGTGGGGAAATCGAGTGTAACCAAGCCAAGTGGGTAAGGGAAAGGGGTTAAACGCACGAGGGGAGCTACTTGCCAAGCCAATTTCCAGCTCTTTAAGATAAGCGAAAGGGGTAAATTGTGGCAGTAATCGAAATAAATGCGGGAAAATGTCCAAATTTCCTCCTTTAAGTCCAAACAAGCAATTTTATTCACAAGTTGCCAGTCTCCAACAAAAATGCCTATGAAAATGGGACTGTAAGATGATAATTAGCACCAGTAAAGTAGAGATGATCTCATTACACATTATACTCTGCTTTAAAAAGGCACTATTTAGCCAAAGCAAATACGTTGAAAAATAAATCGCATTTAGGAAACCGAAGCAAAAAGAAGAAAGCAACCGCCGCAGTGCAAAGTGCGAAAGTGCATTTAAATCCTGCTGGTGAAACAAATCCTTTTTGCAGCTCAGACAAACCGAAACTCAAACTCGACTCGACTGGAAAGCCAAAAAGTTTCCCCACAGAATTTAAAATCTTTTCTCACCCCCCAGTTTCCCCATTCGAAAGCTGGTGGTAAGGTCAAAGGGCAACGAGTTGAGTCAGCTCGAGTTGGAATCCTATGGAAAATCTTATTAGAATGCATATTGGGACGCAGGTAGGTAACTTCGTTCAGTTGAAAGGTTCACACAGAGATATTGGCAGAGAGAAAAATGTGAGAATCGGAGAATCGGGGAATCGGAGAAAAGGAGAACGGCAGACACGCAAAGTGAACAGGTAAGCGGAATTACGGCCAGATTATAATGATGACAGGATACACACAAAGGGGCACCGTCCAGAAATCGAAAAAAAAAATAATCAACCAGACACGACAGCTGGAACCCGAAGATATAAGGAACTCGATGGTAAAAAGGGCGGCCCACAGATGAAGAATATTTAACTGCGGCGAATTAAAATTCAATTCGTGTTCCTTCCCTTAATTCGAAGCGTTCTGCTCCAGGTTGAACTTGTTTTCACTTTTTCTTGATCTGAGAGTGCCAGCACTCTAATAAAAAGAGAAAAAAAAAATAAAGAAAATACAAAGAGAATGTTTCATAACATAAAATTTGATTTATAAATTTTTCCCAGATTTATATACATTTAGATTTAGAATGAATACACATAGATTGTGCCGCCCAAGAAACTTTTCCAATATGAAAACTCAGTCATTTGGGCCTACTCTTAATGACTGCCCGTCATAAAAGTTTGCCCGTATAAATATTTTTTAATTTCTTGCCTGGTCTGCTGGCCCACAAAGTCGATAGAAATAGTAGAGAATTGTTAACCAGAACAGCGCTGGGCGAAATCTTGGCTAAGAGTAACAGTAACTAGGCTTTTGTGGTCGGCTGTCCGATGTTTTGTGGTTGTTTGAATTGCTTGTTCCAGTGCACTGACTTTTGGCTCGTTAGCTTCGATTCTGTTTTGAGTCCGCAGTTAGTTAACTTTTTACTTTACATTTTTTATTCAGCTTTGTGGATTTGGCGCGCGACTCGCATTAAAAAGGCGGCCAGGCGAGAATTTAAGAGGGCTCAGGAAGTGGCGAGGAATGTGGTACTTTTGTTGCAAAAAAAATATAATATATATAAAATATATATAGTCATTTTGTTTAATAAATAACACCTAACAAACGAAATGTTCCATCATACAAAAAATACATTTATTTCGATTAACTTTCAAATTATAAAAAGACATTTTTAACATGTATAAAATAACTAATCAAACTCGTGTTCATGTGTATGTTTCGTCAGAGTGACGAATCCAACATACAAGTTGTTTTTTATGTCGACAGCATTTGTTTTAATGAACATCCATTGAAACGGGGTGCGAAAGAGACGACGCCAAAAGAAAGAGAGGCGATTAAATTAGCAAATGCTTTGCTTGCAGGGGCGGGGGAAGGGAAGATGGTGGGGGGAGGGTGCTACAGGGGGTGGTGGGCAGCGTGCAACATATTGCATATTGCACATTGCACATGTGGAACGACGCGGGCAACTTGCAACGTCAGCAGGCGCATATTAAAAAAAAATAAAAATATGAGGAAAAAGCTCCAACAAAGAGCGACTGTCCCCCTCTCGCTCGCTCGCAGTCGTCGTCTCTTTTCCACTCGCCTTGTGGCAAGTTCATTGAACCTCATTTACAGTTCAGTAGTTTAGCGATTTTATTCTCATGGGAAAGAGACGGCAGCAGCGCGAGTTAGAGAGAGACGCACAGTTTGAGAGGGAGGCCCGACTTTTTTTTTGGGGCAACTCTGGCTTTGCAAAAGAAATAAACTCAATACAGCATAACGCCTTTTAAATAAATCTATTAAACCCAGCATATGTTAAATACAACAATACATACAATATGGAAAATCCGCATTGATTATTACAATCTTATATTACATTCATATTTAGTTGGAAAAGTTCTTTATTTCCATTAGTAATTTTTGGAGATTAAAAAAGTATGAAATATTTTTTTTAAATTTTAAGGAAACTTAACTTAATTTGACTCGAAAAAAGTAAAGCAAAGCCCCAAAGATAATGGTAATTTTGCCATTTAGTAGTAGAAATGTAGTTCAAGTTATGGGAACATCCGGTTTAGGGAATTTCGCCTGTAAAGCCAAACAATGGGATGCGAAAAAAATCGAAATAAATGTGAGACAAGAAAGGAAAGCGTTGGGAACCAAATAGTAACAAAAACTAATGCGATTTGCGGCAGCAGCATCAGCAAAAAGAAAAAAATGCCTCCCAGATTCATGGATTTTTCGTTTGAGAGGCGCCGCCAGCCAAAAGCAATCAAATCCAATTAAAAGCGAAAAAAAAACAGATAAAAACGGTGGTAGCAGAACTTTTGTGTACAACAAAAAATATTGTTTATGTAAAAGCTGCAGCAGCGAAAAAACAAAAGTATAATAATAACAACTTCCAGCACACGCGACTTTATACAACAAATTTGTCGAACGCCACAAGAAAATTTAAAGAAGAGGGAAAGAGGGAGAGATGAAGGAAATACGGAGGCAGCAACAAACAGAAAAGGCAACAAAAACTGAAACAGCAGCAGTGGGCAAAACCAACAACAATCAACTCTTTTGACCAGCAGCTGTCGCACAGTGGGCTGCACAGTGGGCAATTAGGGGTGGCATAGCCATCAGGTGCAGACGCGTTTTGTTTAAGATGCTCTCAACTCTGAAACAAGAAAATACCCCGCCAAATGCGAAGTTGCTAATATTAAATAGGGAAAATATTGCAAGAGTTCACAGTAATAACTCCAGTTCAAATAAATCCCATTCCACTGTCCGTAAGCACAAGTGTTCGGGGTTGCTGCTAATGGAACGCAATTCACAATTCACTGGGAATGCGCTATCTCTGTCTGCAGCACCCCTCTCTGTCGCTCCCCAGTCACTCCGTCTCTTTCTGTCGTTGCAACGACAATGACAGCAACAAAAGCAAAAACGCGGCAGACAGCAAAAACCAATGGACAAAAACACAAACAAAACGGTGGACAACAGTCGTCATTCTTCGTTGTTTTTGTTGTTTCGGCAAAACTTCTTCATCCCGGAGAAGGGAAAGAGATGGGCATAGGAAGGGAGAAAGAGAGGGGGACAGAACGTTCGCATAAATTTCAATTCGCGCGCAAACGGCGCCCACAAAGCCAAACCATACAGTATGCAATTTATCAAAGGAATTTGTAGTGAATTGCATGGGGCTGCTTGAATTTCGAAAAAATTTGTAATTTTACTGGCCCTGCATGGTCACACTGCGACCTTTTGAGGGATCAGCTGACTAACAGCTGATGCTCTGAAGTAAACAATGTATGAGATCTCGAAAAATATACGTTCCATATGTTATCATTATTGTTTGATAGCTTTATCTATCTGATATCCAGCTTTATACCTGGGTAATCCTAGAATAAACTAGAAACTAATAGAATGTAGTTCTTGCGTGTATGCTTCAGTTTGGTTTAGTTTCAATTAGGCAAGCCCCACTGTCTGAAAACAACAAGGAAAGGCAATAAAAGGGAGCAGAGAATGCGTTTTGGGGGTTGCTGGATGCTGCGAAGGGGGGTGTTTCCCAAAAGGGGGTGGCACTGTGGGTGTGGGGGGGTCGAAAGTCGGCGCAAAGTGGAGTAAACTGAAGTCTGGAGCACAACAAAAAGTAGTAAAGGCGGCGGCAGAGGAAAATCCTAGGAGAGGGTGCGAAATCCCGCAGTATACACACCACTACCAGACTTTTCCTATACACAAGTACATACTACATACATATGTACATATAAATGGGTGGCAAAAAATAAGGAAGAAAACCAAAGGAATCTGTCTAGACAACATTGTAAGTAGATAAAAGTATTTGGTCGGAAAAATCTGGCAAGGAAATAATGAAAAATGTAATTTCCTTCCCTCTCTTTCTTCCCTCCATCACCATTAGCTATCTCTTTCCGGCAGGCAATACCTTTTGTGATAAGGAAGCAATTGTAGCACATTTCACTACTATTTTTTCAATTGCACCATCATTAAAATCGTGTTACGGATAAGATAACACAAGTAGGCGCTATATTTTTATACATTTTTCCTCATTTTTCGTGTGAAAATTCCATTTAGCGAGCAATCATGTGCTGGGGGGAAAATGAATTTATTTATTCATATTCAACATATTTATGCATTTGTGTAAACAAAAAACAGGTGCCTGAAATGACTGTAAGGCGCTTTTTGTTTACGCAAATGTTTAAATGAAAGAAAGAGAGAGTGAGACAGGTAACTGCTTATTCTGTGACTGGTTTATTGTTATTTTCTGTTTATGCTATTTTTATGGCCCCTCGTTCAGGTTTTTTTCAAATTCTTTTGTTATTGATTTCACTTTTTTACCAGGCATTTCTGGATGGTTTTTCAAATACGCAAGAAACAGACAATCTTGAAAATGGACAACTAACGGATACATATTAAAAACAACTTATTTGGCACTTTCTAGCACTTCAAATGATTTGAGCATAAAATAATGCCCTTTTAAAAACTGTTTTCAAAACGTAAATTATATCTGATAAGATAATTGTTATTTCCTTCTTTACGGAGCGTTCACTGTGATCGAATTCACATAAATATATCGCTTTTCTTCGCACCTTGCGCTTTTCGTTTTGCAGCACCTGTCGCAGCTGATTTTTCATTCACACTATTTGTTTATCTACGATTATTTTTTTAGCTGCTCGTAAGCTGGTGAAATTCCCATAGAAAATTCATTAAAATCAACCAAAGGAATTTTAGTTGAAGTTTCTCAGAGAGAATTCGATTGTGTGCCGGTATGAGTGAGCCTGTGTATGTGTGTGTTTAGTGTGTGAAGAGAGAAGTTGTAAAACCGGATTTTCCTTTTGGGCGCTTTCGTAGTTTTGTTGCCTTTTGCACTTTGCCTCGATCTTCGATTTTTAATGGCCATTTGAATTTTATTATTGGTCTGCTCAAATGTTACAACAATTTTGCTTTCTGCCTTTTGCCTTTCTTGCTTTTATTTTCTTTTCATTTCTTCTTTCTTTTCTTTGCTTTTGCATTTTCATTTCACTTGCTTTGCACTTACACTTGTTGATTATTTAATGTGTAATATTTTTATTGCATTTACTTGCGCTTTCACGCATTCCTTATTTTTCTCTGCTGCTTTTCACTAATAATTTATTTAAATCAAACTAACGCACGCACACAGCTGCACGTATTTACACACACACACGCACGCACACAAACGAAACGCCAAGCGACGCGCCGGAAAAAAACAACAAAAAGAACAACAACGAAAAGAGCGGCGAAACAAGAAAAGCAAACGTTTTGAAATTCTCTTTCGTTTTGCACCGCGAAATTCAACCGAATCGGAACTGAAAACTTTGCCAATGCGATTTTATGTGAATGTTTATCTGTTGCGAAGCGAGCGCGGCGTTGTTTTCCCGACTTTGCGATCCCCAATTGGCGTTCGATGCGCGTTCGTCTGCTCCCAAAAAATTGTGACAAAAAATTGTTTATATGGCGCAGTGTGGCCAGATACTTGGCGGCCGATAAGGCCGAGTTGGGCCCGTTTGGCGGCATTTTTCGGCAGCGCGGTCACACCGCGGCTGTAGTGAGCGGAATTTCAAAATTTTGGCGCCAAACTGAATTATTAGTTTTTCAGATAACAAGTCATATTTATACCATGGCATCTAAGCAATATTGTAGTATAAGCAACAAAAGCTTTTCTTATTATTACAGAACTTTGTTATTTAAGGTCTAAGATTAGAAAAGCTTATGTTTTTTTATTTTTCAATTGAAATTGTCCATATTATACGATATGCTATATATTTACACAAGTTTTTCGTTTGCTAGATTAATAAGCTTTAATGAATAAAGTCAATTTCAACAATGAAGTAAACTCGGTCTGCCTTTCATTTCACATTCACAGCAGTTAATTACATTAACTCAAATTGAATTACATTTGCCCATTGATTTGCAATTCACACGCACAAATTCCACCACCCGATGATAATTGCCAATTTGAGTGGAAAGCCAGATGAGGCGAGCAATGTAGTCTGGAAAATGTCGAAAAACTATTGAAAATCAATTTGCATTCCGCAGCTGAAGCAACCAAATAATACTAGTTCCCCTCTCGAAAACTTAAATCCCTCAAAATCCAATGAGGCAATCGGCAAATGAAAATCTTTCCGGGGGAAGCGAAAGAAAAACAACAAGCAGCCGCACTTCAAAAGCAATTTCACCTTGTTTTTCCAAACACACACACAACAAAAATAGTGGATAAACAATGGCGCGAGGCAAATCTCTTTTCGGCCATATATAACTTTTCGGTAAGGAATTTCCCAAACTGCTCTTCAAGAATTTTCACGAGTGGTGGCGTCTCCTATTTTTAGGCCCACTACAAAAACACCCTACAGTGAGCTCTCGAAAAAGTGAACTGTTGGTATATTCCCAGCAAAAAATCGAGAAGTAAATGACAGATTTTTCCTATTTGTTAGATCCGTGTTGTGTTTACTTTAATTAGGAACAAGCAATTTTAAGAAATAGAGAAAATATTGCCTAGTTTGATTTATTAATTTACAATGCTCATAATTTTTCGGATTTATATTGAAAAGAAATACAAAATCGGCATATATTTCATATATAGTAGATATATAGTAGATACTATGTAGTGAATATGCATATTTGTATATGGTAAATACTATTTATAAAAAACAGGAAACGGAAGTATCATTCGCTCTAGTTGGAAGAATTTAATGAGATATGTGGATATAAATACGAAGAGGGGGAAAAACAAGGGGAAAACTCGGCGCTGGAATTTTGTTGTTGCTCCAAAAATGCCGGCAAATGAAAAGCGCAGGTCCGCAAATGAAAAAAAGAATGGAAAATTTATAAAGAGAGCGAAATTTCTGGGAGAGAGCACAACAAAGGCAGTTTGGGAGGCACTCGGGGTTTGCGAAGCACTGCTTCAAGCAGTGCAATATTTATTATTTATTGCATGCGAGAAATTTCTCGCCGATTCTTTGGGTGACTCCAAAACTATGCGACAAAAATCCATTTAACAAAAGATCGTTTGATTAGTTTTAGTAACTAGCTAATAATAATTACTAACTAACGAGTTAAATAAACAAAATGTAATATTAACAATTTAAATATTAAATAACCCAATATATTTTTTGAATTATGGATAAATAAATTGAAAATCATAAGTGTACCAAACATGTTGGCGACCAAACTTAGCTTTCTTATCATATTATCTTTCAAACTTATATTTCTTTAACAATGATATTGTAAAATAGTATTGTGCTGTTGAATTCGCCAGTTCGTCGTTTTATTCAAACGTCAAGGAAAGTTATCCACCCACCGAAAGAAAATTCCACTTCAATCCGAGCGAACGATTCGTCTTGAATGTCAGTTTTTCCCCGGCTTCGTCGCACCATTTTCCCCGACCTGCTTATCCTTCAGGAAAATTAACTTGAGAGTCTTGATAAAAGGGCTGCCATTCATTCATTCAGCAGCTTGCCGAAAACTGTTCTCAATGCCAGTAGCTGCCAACTTAATTTATATTGTATTTAAAATGCAAAATGCACAGCATTCAACAATAGGCGAGAGCAAAGAAAGTGGGCGGCCGTGGCATTGTGGGCGGGGCACAGCTGAAAAGCTGCCTTAATTTAACAACTTGACAAATTGAATGTTTGCAGAGTGGGCAAAGCGTAACAATAAAGAAGGCGCGCTAAACTGAAACAAAATTTCTAGTTTCGATCCAAACTCTAAAACTCTTTTAATGTGACAAAGCATATTTTCAGTGCTTACTTCACTTTTGACTGATTTGATTGATATCTTTGTATACCCCAGAGTATCATTTACATGCAGGGCACTAGTTTTTCGCAGTGTAAGCACAATCAGCTGCATCTAAACAATGGGAATAGCAATGCGAAGGGGTAAGAAAAATGAGGCTTACGAAGGGTAGCCAAGGCAACCCGTTTGCGAGGTCTTCGCCGTGGAATTCGACTTGGAATTTTCTATTTCGGACCTGCCAAGGAATCTCTGGCAGTCATAACGATAATTGACAATCTGGCCAGCGCAAATTAACATTGCCAGAGGTCAAATTGCATTTGCTCAGGGAATTTCTGATTGCTTCCGTTTGTTTTTTCCCCTGCTGCTGCTGCTGCTATTGTGTAGCCCCAAAAACGTCTGCCAAAAAACATACATAGGTAAATAAAGCTCTATTAGGAATGCAGTGCACGCAACGCAAAGCGGCCATAAAGACGTTTGGGCCAAAGGCAGCAGCCAAATTAAAACGGGCCAGAAAAGTAGTAGCAAGCACAGGAAAAAACAATACTACAGAAAATGAGCAAACGTGCCACGGTCATGAGTGACCTCTAACCCACCGCCCACCGTCCACCGCCCCCCTCTCCTTTTCCATGGGCCACCCACTCCGCTGGTAGAGCCAAAGTTTTACTATAAAAGCCGGGCCTTCTGCGATTGTTTAATCATATCAGTTTCTGTTCAATCAGCGGATATACCACCAAAAACCATCAATCCAAGATGTTTAAGTTTGTGAGTATCTCAGTATCTAAGAGATGCTAAGTAAATACCTGTGAAGGATACAAGTACCTAACAAATATAGTTCGGTGATTAAGGAGAATCTGTATTATCTCTAAAGTCAATCAAATGTATAATTCAGTGCTCAAGGAATAAGGAATATCGTATGTCAATCAGCGGTTTCAGATACATTGTTTGAGCTAGTTTAAACTTGCGCAGCAGCTTAAGCTCGTTTCAAGACACAACCTTTGGTCCATTTGATGTAAAAGAGTCTTATTGTTTTGGCAGGTCCATTATTTTCCCTAAGACTGTAATTGTTTCCCTTGGCTAATGAAACCCTTTCCACAACTTTCCAACCAGTTCGCTCTGTGCCTGTGCGCCCTGTTGGCCGTTGCCTGTGGCAAGCCGCAATTCCTGACCGCCTACAGTGCGGCCTCGCCCGTGGTGGCTGCCACGCCCTACGCCTACTCCGGCGGACTCTACGCACCCACGTACAGTGCGGCCTACACCAGCGGCGTCTATGCCACGCCCTACGCCTACGGAGCCTACCCCTACAGCTCACTGTACCTGAGACGCTGAGATCGCACCACCGCCGACCACCGACCACCGACCACCGAGTGCACACTGTACTACGATAATTCCTGATGACGACGACCTAATGAACAAATAAACCTGATAAAACCGATAAGGATTCGCATACCAAAGGCCAGCTATTTGCTGTCATTTGCTTTGAGCAACTGCAGATTAAAAGGGGCTGCAAAATGGAAGTGGCATTGCCACTACACTCGCAGAAAAACAGTTGTTGAATAATTTCACCAAAATTAAAACTTGTAATAACCATTGAGAATCTATCTATTGCATTGTGTTTATTTGGGTTGCAAAGTTTTCTATAGTAGTCACAAAGTATCATAGTTTTTGCGCAGTGCACAGTGTTTGTGGAAGCAAAGAGGCGTATTTTAAAATATTTACGAATTTGTTTCTGTCGTTGCTGCTGGTTTTCTTGGCAATTTCCGTTAGCTATCAAAAACATTCACTTTGGCTCGTATATCATGTTTCATGTGGCAAAACGGGGCGTTTTGGGCGGTTTTTGTGGACTCAGGGGGGGCAACCGAAGGGTGGAGAGGGTATGGTGCGAAAGGGAAGGAGTCCCAGGGGTCGGGGGTCAACTGTCGCTGGCATGCGTCGGCGTGCATTTGCATCGCTGCTAAAATGTGCAAATTATGGCAACTAAGTTGCCTTATGTTGTCCCAAGCACGCAATGGGTTGAGTGGAGTGCACTCGAAAAAAACACACAAAACTATGTCCACATTGAGCATCTGACAAATCTTCAAATAAAGTAGATGACGAAGGAAGGAGCAATAGAAAAGCAAGCTCAAAATGTTTATATTTACATTCTCCTTTCTAGCAATTTAAATGTATTTGTACAAGAGATTTCAACTTGAAGACGTGTAGTTTGGAAACTGGTTTTCCAGCTTTTCAAACACAAATGTTAATGAAAATCGTGTTGAAATATTTTGGAGTAGGGAGCGGCAAGGACTTTCTTTGAGCTCCTGTTTCACTTTCCCCGCCGCCAACTTAGCACACAGCCCTGCATTTCCGGCGCACACTTTCCCTTCTCATTTCCGTCCCCCGTCCCCTTTCTCCTTTCTCCCAGCGCCTTCCACTCCTACTTCTCATTTTTAGACGTCAGCTTCAGTGTCGCCATTTGCATAATGCATGTGTGTGCGTGTGCTGGTGTGCTGGTGTTTGTAGCAGCCTTTCAGGCGCATTGTGCACCGTGGGGCTGCGAAAAGAGCATCAAAATGCATATGGAAATTGGCCCGAAATGAAAAATATGTGCAGCATCCTGAATAAATGCATTTAGATAAGGCAGAATGTGGTTAAACGTTGAATAATGCTCATGCTAATGTTGTTTTCCACTTGATTGGCCGCAAGAAGAAGGCATTTCGTAGTAGAATAATGCGGTGAAACATAAATAATGTAAATAACGAGTGGCAAATAA